ATTACTGATAGCGGCTTTTTTCGGGCTTGCCTATATTACTGATAGCAGCTGTTTTTGGGCGTGGCTACATTACTGATGGCAGTCATTTTTCAGGCTTGTTTTTTGGTTACTGTGCAGCAGTTTTCAGGCTTCCATTTTTTTTACTGTGAAGCAATTTTCAGGCTTGCCTATATTACTGATAGCAACCGTTTTTTGTGCTTGCTTTTTTGTTTTACTGTGAAGCCGCTTCAGGCTCCCTATATTTGCTAATATCAACCATTTCAGGCTTGCTTTTTTTATTACTGTGCAGCCGCTTCGTGCTTCCTTTGTTTGCTAATAGCAGACAAAGCTAATAGAATAGCAAACATAGCTCATAGACACTCTGCTTTGGAGGACAATGCTATATCTCTGGCAGCATCTGGTACTGATTTTCAGTATCATTTTGACTTTGGCTCACATCTGTCAGAAACCAGATCATTTATCTATTCCGGCTCTCAGTCGGAAGAGGATGGTTTGATAGGGAACGGCTCTTTCCCGGTTCCAGCTGGATGCCCCACAGGACCAACCTGCGGCTTCCAATGCCTTCTTTCGACATTCTACTGCTAGGTCTTCCTTTATGGTTCGCCCTTCTGCCGAATACGTAGAGGGATGTTAATGCCTGGGTGGACACTAAGGCCTTTTCACGGCTTACTTCTGATGGCTGCCAAGCAGGATTCGCTCAAGTTTAGCTTGGGCCATATGTCTTCTGTTGAACCTGCAGCTTCCCTCATTGTGGCGCCAGATGAGACTTTGAGAGCTAATACCAGGTTTTCTCGTCCTCAGTGCTGTGTCATCGATGATCTGCTGTGTAGAGCATATGACTAGTGGTCTCATTTCAGAGGACTTGGTAATTCTGTCACATTTATTACTGGGTCTTTCAGCTTCTTTTGAGGGTCCGCGATATATGCACCTACTCATGGGATGATGGAGGCATCTCTCCATGTGTTTGCTCTTCTGTCAAGGGAAATTGGACGTGTCCTGTCTACCCTTGTTCAGGCACGCTGTATGGTTTGGCTGGCTCAGTCTCCTCTAACTGAAGCATGTAGAAGGACTCTGATTGGCTTCCCTGTGGTTCCTGGGGAACTGTTTGGCTTTGCTGCACTTGCAGCCTTGGAGTGGTTGGCCCAGGCTTGGTGTAGCAGGCAGCAGTTGGCCAGCCTTCATTGCAGACCATTGCAGTGTCCTGCTGGGAGTGCCTCTGCGTCTTTACAATGCAGTTATCCTGCCCAGACTACACCCTGCTTGGGGCAGCCATGGCTTACTGCAGGGCCTGCTGCAAGACCTGCCCTTGGCCAGTGGGATCTACCCAGAGGTCGGGTTTATGTCGTTTCTTAACCCAGGCAGCTCACTCGGCAACCTTCCTGCCCCCTTAAGGGCAGGAAGATTAGAGATTACATCACCGGGCCGGTGGTGGGAGACTTTAGCCCGAATCGACCTCTTTTCCTGGGTTTTGTCGCCTGAAAGGACAGGTCCATTTCACATGAAATGCTAAAGAAATCTAGCTGGAAGTAGCTTTGGTTTTCCTGCGTCACAGTCACGGATCGCTGTATCCCATTGTACATAGAGCCCGCTGAACTGGGTGAGACGGGAAAATCCGGAGCTGAATGCTGTTTGGAATTTCCCCCCTTTGTAAGGACCTCGATACCAATCACGGCCAATTTACTTGCAGTTGTTTGTGATTCATATATGAATGGTTTATCACTCAGGCCAGATCCACCCTCTTTTGGTAATAGTTTGAATAAACAGAGATAATTAGTTCTTGATTGATAATTAATAGCTCTGCTGATAACCTAGCCTAGGCCACTAAAGTGGTGGGGCAGTATCTGAGGTAGTCATGGAATCTGAACCGGGTTTAGACTGCTTTGATCCAGTT